CTGGGGTTTGCGGTTCCCCTCTTGCCCCTCTGCTTCTTTCTGCCCTTTGGTAAAGCTGGGCTGTAAGAGAGGCAAATCTGCCCCTGTGAGGCTGATGTGCCCCCTCTCTGGGTGCTGTGGGCTCCTAGAGCAGTCCCCAACCAACCAGGCAATGAGCCCTTTGCTGTAGAATGTCCCCTGGGAGGCCAGGACAGCCACAAACCATGGGTGCCATGGGCTGGGTGTTGCTGGAGGAGGTAAGTCCCTGCGCTGCCTCTTCTCCCCCAGCCTCATGTTTCCTCAGTGGGCAGTGGGGTGTAGGAGGAGCACTCCTGAACTCAGAAATGCTGCCCAGCTCCATCCCTCAGGTGTGGGATGTTCCTCGGTGGGTTTGCTGGGCCCCTCTGCAGAGCAGTGTCCTGAGAAAGCGTGGGGTTTAGGCGGCCCCATCTGTGCTCTCCAGCATAGACACAGAGCATTGACTTGGCTCTTCTCCCCTCTCCACCGGCAGAGGCACAAGGCTCCATAGAAGATGGGTGACTGGGGTTTCCTGGAGAAACTGCTGGACCAAGTCCAGGAGCACTCGACCGTGATCGGGAAGATCTGGCTCACCGTGCTCTTCATCTTCCGCATCCTCATCCTGGGCTTGGCCGGGGAGTCTGTGTGGGGGGACGAGCAGTCGGATTTCGTGTGCAACACCAAGCAGCCTGGCTGCACCAACGTCTGCTATGACAAAGCCTTCCCCATCTCCCACATCCGCTACTGGGTGCTCCAGTTCCTCTTTGTCAGCACCCCAACGCTGATTTACCTGGGCCACGTTGTCTATCTCTCACGGAAGGAGGAAAAGCTGAAGCAACAGGAGAGTGAGCTCCGGGCTATCCACAGCAAGGACCCGAAGATCGAGCAGGCGCTGGTGGCCATAGAGAAGAAGATGTCCAAGATCTACGTGTCAGAGGACGGGCGGCTCAAGATCCGAGGGGCGCTTATGTGGACGTACATCATCAGTGTGATCTGCAAGAGCATCTTTGAGGCTGGATTCCTCGTTGGCCAGTGGTACCTGTACGGCTTCTCCATGGTGCCCCGCTATGTGTGCAAGAGGGACCCCTGCCCCCATCAGGTGGACTGCTTCATCTCCCGCCCTACCGAGAAGAGCATCTTCATCATCTTCATGCTGGTGATGGGCCTCATCTCCTTAATCCTGAATCTCCTGGAGCTCTTCCACCTCTGCTGCAAGAACCTGCTTAGCAACATCAAGAAGGTTTCGGAACCAGCCATCCCAAGGCGGGATGCCTTTGCCAGTGACATGGTCTCAGGTCCTTACCCACACAAGCATTACCCCTTCCTGCCCATGGCTGAGAGCCACACAGCGTCCTACCAGGCCTTCAACAAGCTCTCCAGCGAGCAGAACTGGGCCAACTTCCACAACGAGGAGAACCTGGCGCTGGGCAGCAGCAGCAGACCCCTGTCAGACCCCTATGCCCCCAGGGCTGCTGAAGCCCCCCCTCCAGAAGAGAAGCTGTGCAGCCGGCCCGAGAGCTCAGCCTCCAAGAAGCAGTATGTCTAGTGCCGGGCTGGCCCCGGCCGGCCGGGGCGACGTTCCTTGGCCCCTTGTGCCTTGAAGGTGCTGGCCATGAGCAGGCAGCTGCCTCCTGCCTGGTGCTGTGCCCACATTGACCTGCCTGTCGTGGAACCTGGTGCTCGGGCTTGGGGCTGAGCGCTGCCCTGGAGCAGAGCCTCTGCTCTCTCCTGCTTCCCCCACAGACCCTGCAAGGAAGGAAACTGCACCGAGTTCCCCGGGACAGCGTGTCCCACGTGCCTCGCCGTGGGAAAGGGAGAAATCCCTGGAGCCCCGCGGCTGGGAACAGGCGGTCCCCGGGGGCATGGGGGG